CCCGGAACGGTCCGCCGGACCCTTGAACAGCGCGGAGAACTCCGCAGCAGTGNGTTTTTCGCGGACCGACTTGTCCGCACAGAGCTTCACCAGCTCTACTTGTGCTGCCGCCTCGTCGTCGAGATTTCCGAAGCGGGCCTTGAAGGCAGCGGTGAAGGCCGCTTCGTTCCCAAAGGGGGTTGTAACCCCTTGCACACCCATCTGCACCGACGCGAGTTGGGCGAAGTAAGGAGTGGCCCAAGCCCGGGCGTCGCCATCGAGCAGGCTCATTGCAACTTGCACCTTGAGCTCGATGGTCGTCAGCGACGTGTTGACCAACCAGTAGATGCACAGCTGCGACAGGAACCTGTCGCACTCGATGACGGTCTTGCCATCATAGCGAAGAGGGAGGAGGAGTTTCAGGGTCTCCTTGTCGGGGGCGGTCGCGGGGGAAGACATTATCGGTGTCGGGGGGGACGGAGGACGTTGCGGGGGCAGAGGCAGCTGTGGTGGCCCTCCGCTGGTCGAACTTCGAGAGGAGCGAGTGCTCGAGCGGCCTCTCGGTGGAGTCGGCGGTGAAGGCGCCGAAGGAAGTTCGGTGGGGGGGTCACGTACGTCAGGGACTGCTGACGCAGGGGCGACCGCTGTCGGCGAGGCGGACCCAACAGAATCCTCGGACTCGGACTCCGAGACTCCTTCTTCACCCGCACCCTCCTCAGGCTCAGGCTCTGGCACAGGGTCTGGAGGGAGATCTCCTCGTGCTTGACTGGACTCGGCGACAGTTTGGGGAAGGCAGGAGGTAGGGGAGACAGGGCGAGAGTGCCTTGAGGCGGATCGAGATGCAAGGGTGCTTCGAGGGCCGAGCGGATGTTGTGCTCGCCTGATCGCCTTGTAGCGCGGGTAATCTTCCGCGATCGATCGGGGTGTCCGATTGGGGCACGGCTGCTGCTCACAACAGTGGATGACAGTCTCAGGGCCATCTGGGATGTAGACGTTGATGAGGTCCTGAGAGTCGAATGCGTGAACCTGGCCTTGACAGGCAGCCACGTTGGATGGGGGGAGGACGGGGAGGTGCGCGTACTACGAAAGGCCGTGTTACTCTAGCTTACACCTACGGCGCCCGAGATGACACTGAGATTCGCAGTTCACATAGGGCCCAATACTGCTTTTGACTATTATGCAGCAGAAACCAAGGCTACGCGTCCGTGAGGACAAGTACCGCTCACTGAAGCGCAGGTACTGAAGAGTTCGTTTCTCTGGTGTTGGCGATGTATAGTAGGCTATCTACGTATCGTAAGGTATAGTGAGGGTGCGCACCACCCGACCTATAGGAGAGGAAGTGAGTGTGTGGGTTCCGAAAGAATGCCAGCAGCAGTGAGGAGTTTCGACCTAATGTCGCGACTTAGGGTCGAGCGACAGGGGAAACACAGACTTTGAAGGATGCTGGGGGCGTTCGACTGGATCTTACCGAAGCGATGGTGAGCAAGGCTCAAACCTAAGGCTAGGGACAAGTAATATATTAGTTAGTATAAGTAAGTAAGCAGATACATGAACGCTTACTGACCTAGGGACAAGAGGTCAAAACTGAGGTCCCTAGGGCAGCAGAGGCCGGCTTATATACATGGGGAGATAAGGGCAGGCTGTGCGCGCTGGTCCGTGCGCAGCTGGTCCGTGCGCAGCATGCCAACGCGGCCCCGGGGGCCGGTGAGTCAGAGCGGCTGTGTCAGCAGAGCCTGAGCTATGCCGCGCACTGCCGTCCTATCTAATCTAATCGTACAGTAGATATGATGTGTCTGTATTGGGCAGGTAGTACAGAGGTTGCGGGTTCGAGCCCGTGAAAAGAAAAAAATTGAAAAAACGGCTAGGCGCCGTATCAACTCGTGACATCGACGTTCTACGAACGCTTCGATCCGACCGTTGCACGGAGGCTCACCTTAGACAAGTCCTTCTAGGCTGTGATGACAAACTGAGCCTATATTTTCATTAAGTCCATTTTCCCTCACTACGAACATTTCTATTTCACCTTCTATGTTCTTCGATCATATTACGACTTGCTTCGAACACACTTATTTGCATTTCCTTTTCTTAGTTCCCGCTAGGTTTTGTCTAGGCCAAAGGCCACATTTTCCATTCGACCATCTACACGATATTCTATGACACGATTAAAACTACGATACAAAACGACGTGCACCATCGCCTAGTCATCGTCGACAGCCCCACGCACGAACCTGATTCCTCTCTTTGCAAGCACGGCCTTCTCCATCTTTTGGAGGTCGAGGTCCATGTCATGTAGGAGCGCTCAATGGTGAGTGATGAGAGCACGCTCCTCGTGGATGACATGAATGATCCCCCGAAACTCGTCGTCGAGGTCGAGCACATCGAGGTCGTCCTGTTCCAGGCCAAGGCGGCTGGCCCTATCGAGAGGCAGTCGTAGCAGGGGGCGCGGAGGCTCGTCGACTCGACGCTTCTTCAAACCACTTGAGTCCGTGACCGAAGGCACGGGAGAGGTCGGCTGAACTACTAAGACGTCAGTCAAGATTAGGACATCCAGAGGAAACAACTTACTGCGCTTTTTTGTGGTGGATCCCCCACCGCGTGTTTTCTTTGTCTTCCCAAGCACAGACACCTTGTCAAAGTAGCATCCCTGCTGGATGTCGCGACTTAGGGTCGAGCGACAGGGGAAAACCAAATGCTGGGGGTGTTCAACTGATCTTACCGAAGTGATGGTGAGCTGGGCTCAAACCTAAGGCTAGGGACAAGTAAGTTAGCATTGAAAAGGTAAGTAAGTACATGAGCTTACTGACCTAAGGACAAGAGGTCGAAACTGAGGTCCCTAGGGCAGCAGAGGCCGGTTTATATACATGGGGAGATAAGGGCAGGCTGTGCGTGTTGGTCCGTGCGCAGCTAGTCCGTGCGCAGCATGCTGACACGGTCCTGGGGGCCGGTGAGTCAGAGCGGCTGTGGCAGCGGAGCCCGAGCTGTGCCGTGCACTGCTGCCCCATCTAATCTAATCGTACAGTAGATAACGACGCATCCATATCATGTATGTTGAAACATTTGTCTTTCTATTCCTTGTACTACTAGCGCCCATACTGGTGCCTGTCTTAGTGCTCACCCACAGGTTGAACATTATGTAGCTTACATAATGGGATCCGTGCGCACTTTGTGCCTGGTATCGTACCACTATGTTTCTTTCTTCACTAACACAACCACATAGACACGATGGTCCATATGCAGTCGGTACTTGTATAAGTAGCTGTACCATTAGTTGGTCAAACCCTAAGTTCGACCTGGTCATTCATTCAAGTCTCTGCTCCTCTTCGCTTGGGGTAGTGGTCATTCTCGACTTCCTTGCTTGATCTTCAGGATGACGCACTGTCCATAAGCCCTCGCTCGTTGTCTACGAGTCAGGCATCAATATAGGAGTATAGACTGTTGTATCAAAAGGTCGAACTTGCTAAGCTACGTTCCTAGTTTCACCTAGTCAAACAACTCATCCACCATCACATTGAACAATGCAGTAAACCCAGTTCCCTTGGGACTACCAGCCCTCGCAGGATCCCCCCTTCTCCAGTACGACCAAGCAGACCGTTGCTTCGTCATCACCACAAGAAGGACTCCCATCTATCCTCGAGGCGGCTCCTGGGTTCGCGCAGAAGGCTCCAACCCGCAGATCGTCACCCATCAACAGCTTGTCAGCTATTACCAGAGACACCCTCCCGCTCACCCAGAAGACATATTCGCCACCCTACGAATCAACGTTGAACCAGCACAAACAACAGAAAACCTACAGTCACCTGTTAACAAACAACCGTTTGAGCTTCCAGACGTTCATCCCTATGGCAACGTTCACTCAAGCAGATATCGATCAGCGCATCGCTGTCGCCCTTGCAGCATACCAATCCCAACAGTCAACTGCCAACCGACCCCTTCACCTTGACATCCCCGCTCCCGAACCTTTCAGCGGAAAGGCGGAGGACCTCAGACGCTTCATCCAATGCGTCCTCTCCTACTTTGTCGCCACCAACAACACCAGACTTAGCGATGAAGCAAAGATCGCCTTCACTGTAGTGTTGATGAGGAAGGACCTAGGGAAGACATGGGCAGACGCATACTATGAGAAGTCGGCAGGGGGAGTCCAGGTCTATCCCGATTGGGCAGCCTTCGCCACTGCCCTCGAGGAAGCGTTTCCTGAGCACGGAACGCGAATCAAGGCGCTCCAAATCCTGATGAAGCTGCCCGAACGACAGAAGAACAAGAAGACGGCACTCTCCCTCGGAAACTACGTCACCCGCTTTGAGCAGCTAGCGTCAAAAGCCCAGCTCAAGGACGCCGAAGTCAATGGCGTCAACTGCACCGAGAACGACTACCACACTCTCCACACCAACTTCATCAAAGGACTTCCGAAGGAGCTCTACGTCTCTCTCACAACTAGGGTCGCTAGAGACCGACCCAGCACCATGAAAGCCTGGTACGACGAAGTCCGAAACACCGATGCCACCAAACAAGGGGCCCTCACCGTCACAGACACCAAGGACTATGGCGAGCCAATGGATATCGACGCCGCTGCAGTCGCGGCAACCTTTGCCTCCACATCGGGAGGAAGGAAGTGGGAACTAGGAGCCGTTCTCAATGAGGCTGATCGGAAGCTCCACAGGGACGGAAACCTGTGCTTCTACTGCCACATCAAGGGCCACAGCGCCAGGGATTTCCATGAGAAAGCGGCCACACGACAAGGGGGTGGAAGGCCGAACCAGGGAGGATCTGGGAAGGACGACTTCCGTGCCAGAATCAAGGCACTCTCCGCTGACGAGAAGCGGGAGCTGTATGAAGAACTTACGATGGAGGATTTTTGAAGGGGCAGGGTGAGCCGACGCAACCACTGCCCGTATCCATTTCACTGTCCTGTGTAATTCTAGTAGTCCGAAATGAACGCACTCTGCACATTCCAATTACTGTGGGACTAAAAGACGTCAAGGCGCGTGCTTTCATCAATAGCAGCGCAACAGGAATCTTCATCAGCCCAAGATTCGTCCGAGAACATCGACTTCGGACAGAACCCCTTCCCCGACCCATCCCCATCTTCAACGTGGATGGAACCCCAAACAAAGAAGCACTCATCATGCGAAGAGCTCTCTTATCTTACAAGATAAGCAGAGAACCCCGATTCATCAAAGCCTATATCGCCAGCATTGGCAAGGAAGACATCATCTTCGGCCACATGTGGCTCAAACTTGAAAACCCCAAGATAGACTGGAAAACCGGACGAGTGGAGCTGAACCACCGGTGGACAAGAGACGAGACCAGGGCCTGGAAGATGGACCTGTATCAAAGGCGAGTGTCACGACTTGGTTCGGTGTCTAGCCGTTTTTTAATTTTTCCTTTTTGCGGGCTCGAACCCGCGACCTCTGTACTACATGCCCAATATGGATGTGTCGTTATCCACTGGATGATTACATTAGATGGGGTGGCAGTGCACGGCACAGCTCAGGCTCTGCTGACACAGCCGCTCTGACTCACCGGCCCCCGGGGCCGTGTCAGCATGCTGCGCACGGACTAGCTGCGCACGGACCAACGCGCACAGCCTGCCCTTATCTCCTCATGTATATAAGCCGGCCTCTGCTGCCCTAGGAACCTCAGTTTCGACCTCTTGTCCCTAGGTCAGTAAGCATCCTTTGTATTCTTTTTCTTACCTCACTAATATATTATCTTGTCCCTAGCCTTAGGTTTGAGCATCGCTCACCATCGCTTCAGTGAGAATCAGTCGGACGCCCCCAGCTCTTAGGTTTCCCCAGTCGCTTGACCTCAAGTTGCGACAGCGAGTGGCCCAGCTAGAACTAAAGAAGGCCATAACTACCCCACTCCCAGAACCAACGGAGGACGAATTCATCGTCATTCCCACCTCTGAGCATGCAACCCTTCCCAAACAAAAGACTAGCGGCGCAGCAGGATATGACATCTCTGCTGCGCATCAACTCATCATCCCTGCCCGATGACGAGGCCTGGTCAGCACTGACCTTATCATGGCTATCCCCGAAGGACACTACGGAAGAATCGCACCTTAATCCGGCCTAGCACTAAAGGAAATTGACATCGCTGCAGGAGTAATGGACTCTGATTACCGAGGCAAGATCTCAGTCCTACTGGTTAACAACTCTGACCTCCCATTCACCGTCAAAGTCGGTGACCGAGTCACTCAGCTCATCCTTGAAAGGATAAGCACCCCACCAGTAACTATAACCAACTGCATTGACGAAACTGAACACGGGGAGGATGGGTTTGGGTCAATGGGTATTGCGTCCATCGAGGAACAAGCAGAGGACATCGACGATGATGAGTTCATCATTTCCTACTTATCTGGAGCACCGATGATCACCAAGTACGAGAAATAGGAACCCCTGGCAGTGAGGGATGTTCCGCTCAAGGAGCGACTCCCTGAACCCTCATCTGGCTACAAACGACTTCACAACGGCATGATCTGGAAGGTCCACCACGACATTAGGCGCGTCACCACTTCCACCGAACTTGCAGCCTCGAACGCCCAAGGCAAGACAAAAAGAATGCTACCACAGATGGTACCATTCTACCTACATGATCTACTCCCTATTTTCGACAAAGCCACGGCTGCATGACTTCCAGACCACAAAATCAACCTCAAGGAGGGCTTCGCGGACAGGAAGCAACAGGTCTATCCGCTCAACCCGCAGCAACGAAAGCAACTCGACAAGTTCCTCGAGGAGAACCTGAGTAAAGGGTACATTCGCCTTTTGAAATCCCCATTGGTGAGTCCATTCTTCTTTGTTGGTAAAAAGGATGGTTCACTACGTCCCTGTCAAGACTACCGGCTGCTCAACGAGAACACAGTCAAGGATCGATACCCGCTCCCGCTTATATCTGACCTCCTGGACAAGTTGAAGCACGCCAAGCTGTTCACGAAGATGGATCTTCGCGCCGGATACAACAATGTCCGAATCAAAAAAGGAGACGAATGGAAGGCAGTGTTCATTGTACCCGGAACTGATGGCAAACCGCCGCAGCTGTACAAACCAATGGTGATGTTCTTTGGGCTGTGTAATTCTCCTGCCACGTTCCAGCGGATGATGAGCACAATATTCACAGACATGCTTCAAGAAGGCTGGCTCTGCATTTACATGGACGACATCCTGATCTTTTCCCAGGACAAGGCAGAACATGAAGAACAAACACGACGTGTTATTGAACGACTTCGACAACACGACCTCTACCTCAAACTGGAGAAATGCGCCTTCGATGTCACGGAAGTCAAATTCCTCAGCATGATCATCCGTCCAGGAGAAATCGCAATGGACCCTGTCAAACTAGCTGGCATTGCGGATTGGCCGGTGCCGTCCAACCTCAGGCAAGTGCGCGCCTTCATTGGATTTGGAAACTTTTACCATCGGTTTATCAAAGGCTTCTCAAACAAAGCGCAACCGCTGGTTGCTCTCACCCAGAAGGACGTCGCCTGGACCTGGGGATCTGAACAACAGAAAGCCTTCGAAACCCTCAAAAAGGTGTTTCTAGAGGAGCCGGTACTACGTATGCCGGATCCTGACTGACCCTTCTCCATTGAAACTGACGCCTCAAAGTTTGCCACCGGAGTGGTGCTACGCCAACACGATGATAACGGCAACTGGCATTCTTGTGGATACCTCTCTCAAAGCTTCAATGCGGCAGAGAGAAACTACGACATCTATGACAGAGAGTTATATGCGGTTATTCGCGCACTAGATGAGTGGAGGCACTACCTCATTGGCAGCCCATACCCAGTGACGATTCTCAGTGACCACAAGAACCTCACGTATTGGAAACAAGCTAAAGACATGAACCGACGACAAGCATGCTGGGTGAGTAAACTGACCGAGTTTGACTTCCACCTGGTGCACGTTCCTGGTACCCAAATGGTGCAGAGCGATGCTCTCCCGCCGACCCGACCATGATGACGGCTCAAATGACAACACTGACGTCGTTATGCTTCCACTGGAAGTATGGGTCGCTGCCATCGACATCGACACCCACGACACCATCCTTGCTTTCAAAGATGACCCAATAATGAAGGAAGGACTCACTACGGCGCGCACCAGAGGAGCACCATGCACTGGAACAGAATGGTCCATCGATGATGACCTCCTCTTATACCAGGATTGGGTCTATGTACCCCCAGATGAGTCTCTTTGCAAACGTCTTGTCTCCCACTATCACGACCTCCCCTCCGCAGGACACCCTGGTGTTCAGAAAACCCTCCTCGGCTTGCGCCGTTGATAGGCGCCAAGCCCCTCTGGGCCCCGATTCACCTCTTTTCGGCAGTCGCATCCCGCCCGGTACTTCAACTCAGTCTCCCAACGCTTCGATTTCGCCTTTGACGCTCTTCGACACCTTCGATGGTGCGCGACGCTTACTCGAAGCTTGGCACGATCGTCCCGATGCCTCGCGCATAGATCCCGGGACATCTTCCGCATTCAGCGAACAATAGGGCCACTTGACGCCGCTCGGCCAAGCGCGCGCTTCGTTCCAAGCCACACCGAAGTAGCCGGTCTTTCCCGATTAGGTATCGAACCTCGCGGCATGCCTTCACGATGGCTACCGGTCCGAAGTGGCCATATGTTGCTCTTCATCTCCGCATTCGGCATGACGTCACTCTACCGATGGACTTGGTGTGTGCCCCTCGGTGAGGCAGCTTCTTGAGGAACAATGCAAAGCCCCTTGTACCAGTGTGCCACTCTCGAATAGTCGTAGCGTCCTGTGTAGTATAAATTCTGTCGTACTTCTCTCCAAAAATGAAAAGATCCGGTTCCCCCCTCGAGTTCAGAGCTCATAAGTCGAGTTCGCCCTGCGTCTAAAGCCTTCAACTGCGTCACTTTGTCCCTCACTGCGTAACCTCGAAACCTCGTCCACTGCGTTTACTCGTCGATACCGTCTCGACGAACCCTTCGACTTCGACTATTGTCGAAGAAACTGTGAACCGCGTCCTAGCTAAGTCCCCCCCCCCTTCGAGTTGTGTCCCTTCCTTCTACGATACATCGAAGAGCTCTGCCGAGCTTCGATCGTCTCCACTAACCACCCCCAGCCTCCGAGTAGCTTCGGCGACGTGTCGAAGCCACCTCGTACCTTCCCTAGCGTTTGTAGCTTTTTCTGAAGGCGTTTCTCGTGTTCACTCGAACCGCGGGACACCTTGCTGCTAACTCCCCTCTCATTAGACTATAATCCGTCTCTCTAGTCCCTTTAGGTCGCACCCAGGTTAGGGGTTAGGGTTTCGTAGGTCGTATCACCGTGACTACTGGTGGCCAAGCATGGCCCAGTTTGTTGCTCGCTATGTTAACGGCTGTGGCATCTGCCAGCAAATGAAGGTTAACACACATCCAGCCCGACCGCCCATCACCTCCATTTGACCCCGCGCAAATGCCAAGCCCTTCAGCACATTCTCGTGCGATTACATCACGGACTTGCCACCGTCCAATGGCTTTGATTCCATTTTGGTCATAGTGGACCACGACCTTACAAAGGGGGTAATTTCCATCCCATGCAACAAAACAATTGACGCTCTTGGGATGGCAGATGCAATGTACCGAGAGGTCTACATATGGTTTGGACTCCCAGACAAGATCATCAGTGACTGAGGACCGCAATTTGCATCCAAAGTCTTCCAAGAACTGTGCAAAATGTGTTGTGACTTGAGGTCGAGCGACAGGGGAAGACCTAACAAGCTGGGGGCGTTCGACTAATCCTCACCAAAGCGATGGTGAGCGATGCTCAAACCTAAGGCTAGGGACAAGAAAGTGTATTGGTTAGTAAGGTAAGAAAGGAATACAAGTGAGGGCTTACTGACCTAGGGACAAGA